CGCGAATTGATCATCTTTGCTCGTTACAATTTGTCATCACTAACTTTGAACGAAAGTTCAAAGTTGAATAAAATGGTATTTGACAAATTGAAGAAAAAGAGCAAAGGGTTGCATTTTTAAAGAAATTAAATTAAATTGAAGTTAAACAAATAGGTTAAAAGAAATGTAGACTCTCCAACCCATTTGCAAGATTTTTCAACAGGTAGATCAATTGCACAATGTATGAATGTATGTAACCTTTCGTATAACAAAAGTATATATTTTCCATTAAAGTACCTACTATCATGTTTACAATTTTATATACCTAAAAGGAAGGAATATGCAAGTTGTATGTGTAAGGTTAAATTCATTCATATCTTGTAGATTTGATCTACCTGTATAAAAATCTTGCAAATGTCCAAAAACACGTGCAAGACATAAACACTTTTATTGCTGAGTTTTTCTCAAATATAAAAATTGACAAATCGGAATAAATTTATGTTTGATCAGGTATATTACATTCATCAAAATTTACGACCTTTGCCATTCACATTCCTCTGAATTTTCAAGAGCAATAAACTTAGAAGCGTTTAAGTCACAACACACACCTTTTGCAAACGGTAAAGTCATATTTGAACATTAATAATGACTTTACCGGAAACACAAATGCAGATTTCAAAAATTCCACATGTTACAAAAGTTATACCTTCCACCATACATAGTATAGAGGGTATATTAAGTTCATCATTCCGTTTGTAACTCATCGAAATAAAAAGTGAAGACCCAAGAAAGTATATATATTCCAGAGGTGGGCATAATACACTGTATTTTTAGTGCACAAATAATTTCACTATCACTGTTCATTTAGTGGCAGTGAAATTTTTTATTCCACTTCCACTAACCTTTTGAAATTAAATTGCACTTCCACGAACCATTTAGTGATATTTAAAAAAAAATTGTAAATTAGTGCTATTTAGAAAAGAAATCAAATTGTATGAATATTTACTATATATTCTGGACTACTATATATTATAATACTTAAATACATAGTGTTTTTTTGGCTTCGCTAAGATTTACTGGTAGTGCAATTTCACTAAATTTTGTGGTAGTGCCATTAAAATTTCACTACCACTAAAATTTAGTGGTAGTGCATTTTTTTAAATTTCACTAAATGGTTAGTGGTAGTGCAATTTAATTGTCTGAAATTCCACACAAGGAGTCCCTCGTGAGTACTTTATCCACTGAAAGAGTTGTCTATATAGGTCCACAATATCGTATATCTCCCATATAACGGTACCCCCCGATAATCGGTATTTTGATGATTTTAGCCACATTTTTCAACGAAATTGTCTGATCTGAAATTCTACTTTACCTCCAGACATAGATTTGACTAAAAAAGTCCACAATATCGCATATCCCACATATACCGGCACCTTCCAAAATTAGGTATTTTCATGATTTTAGCCACATTTTTCAAAGGAATTGTCTGAAATTGTACACAAGGACACTTTACCCCCTGAAAGAGAGTTGTCTATATAGGTCCATGATATCGTATATCCCCAATATAACAGTATTCCCCGATATTCGGTATTTTGATGATTTTAGTCACATTTTTAATGGAATAGTCTGAAATTCCAGACAAGGAGTTCCTTGTGTGTATTTTATCCATTGACAGAGAATTATCTATATAGGTCCACGATATCGTATATCCTCCATATAATGGTACCCCCCTATATTCGGAATTTTATTGATTTTAGCCACATTTTTCAATGATATTATCTGAAAATCCACACAAGAAGTTCCTTGTAAGTACTTTATTCCTTTAAAATTTATCTGTATAGTTCCAAGATTCCTTTAAAATACAATTATCTGTATAGTTCCAAGATATCGTTTAGCCCCATATAACGGGTCTCCCCGATATTCGGTATTTTGATGATTTAAGCCACATTTTTCAACGGAATTGTTGGAATTTTACATAAGGAGTTCTTTGTGCGTACTTTACCCCCAGATACAGATTTGTCTATATAGGTCCACAATATAACATATCCCCCATACATGGGCACCTTCTGATATAAGGTATTTTAAAAATTTTAAAAGAATTTTTAATGGATTTTATTTTTTTGAAAATTTTCTAATTCGTTCCTAATGGTGGAGGGTATTCAAAGTTCGGCCCGGCCGAACTTACTGCTTTTTTACATGTTTGTAACCTTCAGCATACATAGTATGGAGGGTATATTAAGTTCATCATTCCGTTTGTAAATCATCGAAATAATAATTTAGACCCAACAAAGTATATATATTCTTGATTAGCGTAAAATTTAGCCCTGTTCGTCGGTCTGTCCTTCCGTTGGTGTAATCATGCTGCAGTCAAAACAAGTAGGAATATGAAGCTAAAATGTTGCACAGATCTGTCTTTTGCTGCAGACAGGTCAAGTTCGAAGATGGGCTATATCGGTTAACAATATAACGGTAGCCACAGTTTTCAATGGAATTTTCTGAAAATCCGCACAAGGAAGAAGTTCCTAGAAGTTAATTGACTATATAGGTCCACGATATCGTATAGCCCCCATAAACCAGTACCCCCCGATACTCTTCGTATAGCCCCTATATAATAGTTTTCATTTAAGCGGTATTTTCTGACGGGATTTTTTGTGCTAAGTGAGCACAACTCAGCACAATTCACCGCATTTCGATATTTGAATTTTTACAAAAATTACAGCAATTTTTCTTTATATATGTTTTTTTTTTCCAATTTTAACTAGTATCGAGTGGAAATACAAATTTTCAATGTATGGACGAAAAATTGTGCTAGGTGAGCACAATTCAGCACAACTTGCAGATTTAAAAAATTCCAAAACAAAAGTTATGCATATTTTAATTTTTAGCGAGTAACGAGTAAAGGTGGAAATTCGTTATGTATGGAGGAAAAATTGTGCTAAGTGAGCACAACTCAGCACAATTTACCGCATCTCGATATTTGATATTTTTACAAAAATTACAGCAATTTTTCTGGAAAATATTGGTTTTTTCGAAATTGCCATATCTTGAAAACGGTTGAAGATATTGAGAAAAAAATTCGAAATTCAAAAATTGCTATTCTGATGTACTTTCGAAATTGTCGTTTTTTTCGAAATTGGTAAGAGATATCGAAAAAATTTTAACGGCACAAATGGGCACAAACCGAGTACGACTCAGCACAACTTTAATTTTTTCGAAATTCGAAAATTGCAATTCTCTCAGATTTTTTCGAAAAAAAATCTTTTTTCGAATATCTCAAAAATTGTTTTCGAATTTCGAAAAAAAATCGGCACAATTGAGCACAAACCTAGCACAACTTTCCTTTTTTCGAAATTCGATAATTGCAATTTCAACGGACACCACATTCACACTAATCCTAGATGATCGCCTTGTTATGAGCAATTCAACGCAAAACAACGATTGAGTATGATTGTTATTAGTTTCACGGGCTCACAACAATAAAAGGCATTTACCCTTCCTTTATTATAAATGTATATGATATATATATGAGAAAAAATTGTGCTTATAATGTTGTAGATGTTGATTATTCCTCCACATGAACATATAAGAAAAAAAATAGGGTAGAAGACCAGCAATAAAACACAAATTTTATACTCTCAAGGCGGGATCACATGATTGCCGCAATGCGCCAATTATTGGTGCATTTTATATGCCAATCGTGTGATTGCACAATTTATTGTCCAATGCGACAATCAAAAATAAATTGTGCTGATTTGCGGCAATCAAATACAAATCTGGTACGACAATCGTGTGAACTGTTAATAGACAACCATGCGCAAATTTAAATTTGAAAAATGCGTCAATATTTATTGTTTTCTAGTGCGTCAATCAAAGAAGACAATACGCGGCAATAACCTGATTTTTTTTAAATAATATTTTTTCTTGTGTTTCTACCGTCAACATTTCTTTGTCGTAAGTAAAGTAAAGTTAATTTAAATTGTTGTACTTGCTATAATTATGTTTATATTATGTATTTGCAGCTTTAATATTCGATGATTGCATTGTATACGAAAATTCAGCTGAGCTTGAGTTCTTTTCCCCCGATCAGCAACCAGAAACACCTGTGCCGAAAAAAAAGAAAAATACAAAGTGTAATTTGTTCCTGGACCTACATTGCAATACAGGAGCTGATACAAGCTGTGGAACAGCATCCATGTGTTTGGCAGTATTCATCCACCGAGTACAAAGATAGGAATAAACGGGAGCAGGCGTGGCGGGAAATTGAAAAAATGTGTACAGGGCACACGGTGGAAGACTGCAAGGCCAAATGGTGCAACATTAAAACGGCCTTTCAAAATCAAAAAAAAAAAAAGTAAAATCAAAATCTGGTCAGGGAGCCGAAAATACCATGCCACATTGGCCGCATTGGTCTGCAATGCAATTTTCCAACAACCACTCTGTGTCAAAAATGTCAAGTACAGTGTCAACATTAGATTTGGATGACTCTGGAAGTACTTCACAACATGCTGCTGCTGAGATTGTAAAGGTAGACAAAAGTGACATTTTGCAGCGTGCAGTTAAGTGTTTAGATGCGGAGGAAGATAATCGGCACGCGATTGGGATGTATTTGGCATCACAAATTCGAGAAATTGCCAAGAAAAATATTTGATATATAAAATTATTTATATATTTTTATATTGCTAGCTCAATTCTCCAATAGGAGACATGAAATACTTTTCCATTTCATCCCGAACAGCCTTTGCTTCACTTGTTATATAAGAACTTGGAACATTTTCTGTTCCACTCACAGCATCTTGTGGGAAGTCATTTCGCCATGTACCAGGAATTAAAGCACCGTCCTCATCGTAGCGATCAACAAGCAACGACGTTGTATAATTTGAATTTTTTTTAACAAAAAAATTGTGTAATGCACAGCAAGCTAGAGTTGCAGAGGTTGTTTTCTCTGCATTAAGTTTGGAAGGGCGTGAAAAAATTTGAAATCGCTTGACCATTATGCCAAATGCATTTTCTACAACACGTCGTGCTCTCGATAGCCTGATGTAAACTTTTACCAGGATATGCGGAAAGCATCATCCGCAACCAAAACAAATGGAACATTTGCTTGACGTCCTGGCAATGGTTTTGGAAGTGGCAAATTTAGCTCATTATGGTTTAAAGCACGTTGAAAAGTACAGTTTCCAAAGACTCCACCATCCGACACACGACCATTACAGCCAACATCAACGTATAAAAAGTTGTATTCGGCATCAACAACTGCCATTAGCACTATACTATGTGTACCTTTATAGTTATAGAAGGTGCTTCCTGAATTAGGTGGTGCTATAATTTGCACATGTTTGCCGTCAACCGCCCCTATGCAGTTCGGGAAGTTCCATAGTTTGTTAAATTTGAAAGCAACGGCATTCCATTCTTCCTGCGTGGATGGTATCTACATACATATCAAAAGAAATAATAAGTCAATTAAAAAGCATAAATATGTGTGTATTTAGATTTTTCATACCTTTATGTATGCACCTTTTAACGCTTTATAAATAGCATCACAAACAATTGGTACGAAAAGTGATATGGTATTTGGGGCAACACGGAAGAAGACCGAAAGACTTTTATAACTGTCACCAGATGCAAGAAATCGAAGTGTCACAGCTAAGCGTATTTGTTCGGGAATAGCCTTTCGCATGTTTGTGTCTTATTTTTAATATATGGTGACACTAGTTGCAACAATTCGATAAACGTTTCGTCATCCATCCGGATAAAATTTTTAAACAAAAACTTTTGGTTTTCGATTTCCCGGAATTCCATTAATGTTTTGTCATATGCACCATCAGTGCTTCTTTTTGTGAGCCACTCTCTGACCCACGTACTTCTATTTACTTTTCTTTTCTTTCATTTTTCTCATCGTCAAATGCGCACACCATAATTATAGCTGCTGCAATTTTCTTTTTTTTTTAAAAGAACACATCTTAATGAAACAAATTGTTAAATGCTTTTACATTTTTAATAAACAAACTTTGACACATAGCAGCTTTTTCTGATATTTGCCGTGTAGTAGAACAATCATGTGACTGAAGTTGGACAATAATTGTCACTTGATGGTTTTGAGACAATACGCGGCAATCAAATTTATGAAAAGTTGGACAATCATGTGACCGCAGAGAATTTGATTCTGACAATTTATTTATTGTGGTAAAACTTTGGACAATAAAAATTGGTTTAAATTGGCGCATTGCGACAATCATGTGATCCCACCTTCAGACTCATATATTTGGATTGTTTCTTTACTCATTCAATTGATATTCAATCGATACAAAACGAAATTTTACTTTAGTACTTATACACGAACATATCCTTTCTCGAGTAGAGCACCAATACGAAATCACCAAGGCAGAATTAAGGAAGGTGGTAGAATTAGCGCTAATTCTTTAAAAATTTGACGTTAATACATCATTGTTGCAATAATATTAATCGACACATTTATTTATTTTGTGAAAGCCATAATTAAACTTATGATAAAATATACCTGTAACCAATAGAGTTTTATGAATGCATTGGCTGTTATTATGAAATATAGAACTGTATTATTAATATTGAATTTAAGGTTTCTACAAATCCTGATAGAGGCTCATGGTCGTCGAAGCTGGATTTCATTTTGTCTGTCGTTGGTTTGGCCATCGGGTTAGGAAACGTTTGGCGCTTTCCCTACTTGTGTTACAAAAATGGTGGTGGCGCTTTCCTAATTCCATATTTAGTTGCTTTATTTTTGGCCGGAATTCCAATGTTTTTCATGGAGTTAGCTTTGGGACAAATGCTGACAATTGGAGGATTGGGGGTATTTCAAATTACTCCCATTTTTAAAGGAATAGGGTACGCCGCTGCCGTTATGTCATGCTGGATGAACGTGTACTATATAGTTATTTTAGCCTGGGCTGTATTTTATTTGGTTATGTCAATGCGAGCGGATGTGCCATGGCGTAATTGCAATAACTCCTGGAATACGCACAAATGTGTAAATCCATATAGCAGAAAACAAATTCAATGCTGGGTCAAAAGCGATAATATTTCTGGATCTAGAATTTGTTCTGTTAATGATGTAAATATTTCAATGTCAGACATAACAGATCCAGTTAAAGAGTTTTGGGAGTATGTCGAAATATATGTTTATGTTCTAATCGTTTAAGGAATCTAATTTTTATTTTTAGACGAAGAACTTTGAACATATCTTCAGGGATAGATAATATTGGCTCCGTTCGATGGGAACTTGCCGGCACACTCCTCCTCGTATGGATCTTATGTTATTTTTGCATTTGGAAAGGAGTTAAATGGACCGGAAAAGTTGTATACTTCACAGCGTTATTTCCTTATGTGTTGCTAAGTATCCTCCTAGTTCGAGGGGTAACGTTACCAGGAGCATGGGATGGTATTAAATTTTATATTATTCCCAATTTCAATAAACTGACAGAATCACAGGTGAATGAACTTAAAAAAAACTCAAACACTATCTGATTAACGCATATCAATTTTAAGGTTTGGATTGACGCCGTAACACAAATATTTTTCTCATATGGATTAGGCTTAGGAACTCTCGTTGCGTTAGGTAGTTATAATAAATACAATAACAATGTGTACAAGTATGTTTGTTACTGTATATTAAGAATATAATATTAAGTGTACACACTTGTGTAAATATTTCATTCCTTAGGCTTAGGTTTCGTAGTAGGATACACCTCTACCTAATTTCAAATACTAAATTTGAAACAATTCCAGTGAATAATGTCGCTAAAATCATCGAAATACCGAATATAGAGAGGTACCGTTATATGGGGGCTATATGAAAACGTGGATCTACATGGCCCATTTGCCAACTTAACCTGCCTACTGTAAAATAAACATGTGCGCAAAATTTTAGCCTTGTATCTGAATTCGTTCGAAACATATCGTGATTACAACAGACAGGCGGACGGTCATCGCTAAATCGACTTAGAATTTTAAGCTGATCAAGAATATATATACTTTGATGGGTCTGACATTAGTATTTCGAGGAGTTACAAACGGAATGAAAAAGTTAATATACCTTCCATAGTATGGTGGAGGGTATAAAAACGGGCGCACCTTTACAAGCAAGTACCCTTCGTATTGGGTGCAACAACCTATGACGGAAAATTGTCATACAGACACGTCTTCGTATAGCCGGCCGGTACCACCCAATATTCGGAATTTTGATAATTTCAGCATTTAAATGTCTACAAATCTTGTGTGTCTCGTTACCGTTACCGTGAGAGCCCGACGTCAAGCAAGTGGACGGGAAAAAACAGCAACATCAGCAGAAATGGTTCGAAAAGTGAAGAAGCGACTTGATTGAACCCCGCGTCGCAGTGGCCGAAAAATGGCTCGTGAGCTGAACATATGGCAATATTCCATTCGGCAAATATTGGAAAATGGGCTCGGGGTAAAGCCATTGAAATTCCAAAAAGTGCAAGGAATTACACCGCAACAAAAAGAAAATAGACTCAAAAGGGCTAAAGAGTTGCTTCGCTTGGACGAAAGTGGTGAACTGCAGAATTCGGCTTTCTCCGACGAGAAAACATTCGTTATCCAGCAGTTTGTAACAAACAACTGAGTCCAGCATGACTCAGCACCATCGTACTCAGCACGCGCCACCCAAGAGCGCACAATGGCCACCAAAATCTCAGAGGAACATTCGGGCAGCGTGTGACGGTTTCATTGGAGTTTGAAGGATATAATTCGTGCCAAAGATGACCAATTCGAACAAATCTAAATTTATTCTTAAATTTGATGCTATTTCCGACATTCTTGCTTTCATTCAATAAAATTTTAACAAAAAATTTAAATTATAGCTTTTGACTTTGTTGCAGTTTTTTAGTCTCTGGCAGACAAATAGAGTTTTTCGTCTTCGTATGTAAGTAAACAAAAATAGTTTCTTTCTACATGCAAATTTTGGTTCAATTAACTCCAACACAAACAAAACGAATGCCAAAGAAGACAATCAAAAATATCAATCGGTAATTTACAAAATGTTAACAAAGTAAAATATTATGTTTGAAAAAAGAAATTCACAGAAAAGGTATGGCCCATTTCATCCGCTATGCTGTATCGATTCCAACAGGTGCGCATCCTCGCTGTTCTAAAAATTAGACGCCAATTGGAGGCGACAAAATCAGAAAAATCTTTTGTTGGTCCATTTCAAGCCCTAAAAATTTTTTTTATAGCTCTAACACTGACTCAACGCAACATATCGTCATAATTGCGACCTGTAGCGTGATTACTCCACCATTGGGCAAATAAAATATTTTTATATAGAAGTATCTTAATACAACCGTGTTCCACATTAAGCTACAAATACCAGTAAGACCATTTGGATAATGCAGTTAAACTTTTCAAAAAAAAAGAAAGTAAAAAGCCTGTAAGCTTGGCCGGAACGATCTTTGAATAACCTCCACCATTTGGAACGATTTTGGCAATTTTCAAAAAAATAAAATCTGTTACAATTTCTGTTAAAATCTTAAAAATACCGAATGTAGCCGATATGTTAGAGTCTATACGACGACGTTGACCTGCATAGGCAATTTTTGCCATAAACCATTACAATATTCAAATGCGAAACTTGAATAAATACAAGTGAGAAAACTGTAAGTTCTCCAGGCCGATCTTTGTAGTATTATCCGTTACGGACTTCATATACCAAATTCGAAACAATTCTGGTGAATAATGTCTCTAAAATCATCAAAATACCGAATATCGGGAGGTACTGTTATATTGGGGCTATACAAAGACGTGGACCTGCACAGACAATTTTCTGTCTTAGGCTGTAGTATCCATTGGGGATACCAAAAGTAAAATTTTATCAAACTTCTTCATTTCGTTCGGAAGCTAGGGTGATTTCCACAGATGGACAAAAGGATAAATGGAAGGACAACGCTAAATCGACATATAATTTTATGTTGATGAAGAATATGTATACTTTGTGGGGTCTAAAATGTATATTTCTAGGTGTTACAAGCGGAACGACAAACTTAATATACCCTCCATATTATGATGGAGCGTATAAAAATAATACAGTAAAACTATTAAAATACCGAATATAGGTAGGTGTCATTATATTGGGGCTATGCGTAGACGTGGACCTGCACTGACAACTTTTTTGTCATAGGTTATAGTATCCATTACGAACTTCAAACACCAAATTTGAAACAATTCCGATGAATAATGTCTCTTCAATCATCAAAATACCGAATAAGTCGTGGACCTGCACAGACAATTTTTTGTCGTAGGCTGTAGTATTCATTGCGAACTTCAAATGCCAAAAGTAAAATTTTATCAATCTTTTTCATTTCGTTCGGAAGCTAGGGTGATTTCCACAGACGGAGAGACGGATATACGGAAGGACACCGCTAAATCGACATAGAATTTTATGCTGATTAATAATATGCATTCTTTGTGGGGTTTAAAATGTATGTTTCGAGGTGTTACAAACCGAATTACAAACTTAATATACCCTCCATGCTATGGTAGAGGTGATAAAAATTCAGTGAAATATATAGCTAAAATTATCAAAATACTGAATATAGTGGGGTACCGTTATATTGGGGCTATGCGAAGACGTGGACCCGCACATACAATTTTCTGTCGTTGGCTGTAGTATCCATTACAATTGAAACAATTCAGGTGTATAATGTCGTTAAAATCGTCAAAATACCGAATATCGAGTGGTACCGTTATATGGGGGATATGCGGAGACGCAGACCAACACAGATAATTCTCTGTCATAGTCTGTAGTATCCGTTACGGACTTCGAACACTAAATTTAAACCAACTCCGGTGAATAATGCATTTAGCACATACATCAACATAGTGGGATGCACATGCAAGCGTTACAATTGTTATACCCTCCACAGTACTATGTAGAATATATTAACTTTGTCATTTCGTTTGCTCATACTCATGTTAGACCCAAGAAAGTTTATATATATCGATTTGCGTAAAATTTTAAGCCGATTTGACCACGAGCCATACTTTGGAGGGTATAATAGCATTGTCATTATGTTTGTAACTCCTCGAAATTCTTATCTTAGACCCAACAAAGTATATATATTCTCGATCTGAGTAAATTTCTAAGCCAATTTATAGACAGACAGACGGACGTGCAACCCACAAGGATTTTTTCTGAGTACTTCATCGTCTGTAAGAAAATTGTCTGTATAGTTCAACGATAGCCCACATACAACTGCACCCTCCCAATATTCGGTATTTGCGTGATTTCTTTATTTTATTTATTTTTGCCGCAATTGTTTTAAATTTCATATTGCATACGCATTTTTTATCATACGCTTTAGTACCCATTACCAAATTGTCTATGTAGGTCCACGTCTTCATATAGCCCCCATATAACATCACCTCCTTTTTTTTGTTTTATGATTTAATTTTGATGATTTAACTGTGATATTCGGAATGGGTTCCAGTTTGATGATATTAGCGACATATTTTACCGGATTTATATAAAATCTCGTATTATAAGTTCGTAATAGTTACCACAGCCTATAACTAGCAAGTAAAAAGATGTAAGTTCGGCAGGCCTATCTTTTTTTCAAATTTTCAAAAAAAAAAAAAAAATACTTTAAAAAGTCTGTTTAAGTCTTAAAAATACTGAATGTAGCCGTTTTATTAGAGTATATACGACGACGTGAACCTGCATAGGCAACTTTTGTAATAAACTATTACAATATTCAAATGCGAAACTTGAACAAAAAATTCGGTGAATAATGTAGCTAAAATCATCAAAATACCGTTACGGACTTCAAACACCACATTTGAAACAATTCCGAAGAATAATGTTGCAAAAATCATCAAAGTACCGAATATTGTGTGGTACCGTTATATGAGTGTTATATGAAAAAGTGGACCTGTACGGACAATTGTCTGTCATAGGCTGTAGTATCCATTACGAACTTTAGATAGCAAATTTGAAACAATTCCGGTGAATAATGTCGCCTAAATCAGCAAAATACCGAAAATCGGGAGGTACCATTATATGGGGGCTATACATAACTTATATAACAAATTTTATATGCAGGACCACGTCTTCGTATAGACCCTATATAACGGTTTTAATTTGAGCAAACATTGATCCAATCGAGCCGGTTTATTTTTAACGAAAATTAATCCGTCTCCTTTTACAAAGGCATTAACATCGACTTCGTCGAGGACAACAACAACCAACAAAATAAAAAGATCAACGATCATCAAAATTTACAATTTATTTATTTATTCAAATAAAATTATAGCAGCAGCACAGGTATGTACACATCTTTTACATTGATTCCGTGTTGTGATAAATAATAAAAAAAACTATCGGTCGTTTTACAGCACTTCCGTCCGCCCATTTGCCGTCGGTAAATTTAATTTTAAAAACAATAATATTTGGTGTCAAATCCGTCCGTATTATCCGTATTATTTTTATATAAATATAAGCTAACATAATATATGTTTAATCAAAAATTATTTTACTTTTTATAAAACATTTTTGATTTAATTTTTTCGTTGTTTTCCGCTACCGATTGAAAACGTGCATCTTACAGTCCGTGGATCCTATAGTCGTTTTAATTAACATTTT